GAAAAAAGCAAAAAAATATAAAATTTTAGCTATTTTCACTATGTAAATTTAATTTCTCCTCGAATTTTTTAATCTTTAAAGGCAATTGTTGGGTTCTAAAATATAGTCAGTAGGTAGACAGTACGTGAAACTATACAGTGGTCACAAAAAACCAAAAATAAAAAAAAAACAACAATTTTTGGCGAGGAAAGGAGGAGGGTATCCTTAAATACATCTGATATTCAGCATCCATTTCAACATCCAAAACATCTAAAAAATTCTCATCCAAGGTCGATCAAAACTATTCCGACTCTTTTGACATTACCAATAGAACTCGTCTACCGAATACTTGATAAACTCATCGATTTCAATATTGTATGCTCGACGCAAAACATTTGCACGCATTTGAATGCTATTATCGATAGTTACTATCGATATCAGGTACGACACGTATATCTGAAAATTTGACTTTCATCATCTTTAACAAATTATTCAATTATCTAAGGTTTCAATCCATACACTGTCTCCCTAGAGTATTTTCCCTAGTAAATCATTCATTACCAGATTGAATCGAATAAGTTTGATGATATCTCGAAACTATTTACTTGTACTTTAAGTTCCAGTCAAGAACTGTAATTGATCATTAACAACACTTGAAGTTGATTAAAAACCATCTCTAGTTAAAAACCAAAACTAGTGCAAGTAACTATCATTCCTTAAGATGATGATTATCTAAAGAATTCTAACCCAATTATATGGAAAACTCTATGTCGAAGACAATTATTAAAACCAAAGTAACAAGAAAACTGCTAAAATTAATCTTTTTACGAACGATGTCTTTAGAAAACTATTGCATTATTGATATAAAATGATCCATTAGCTTTTTTTTCCATTTTTTATACCAGTTAAAATAACACACTCGACTCTAATAATATTTAAGAAACCAACGAAGAAATTCAACAATGTACCAAGCGCGAGAGCAAAAATAGCTCTTGAAATTACTGAGATCTTTTCTTTTTTCAATACTACAGATTGAAGAACATCGGAGCTGATTATTTTGGAGCTTTTCATCCGATACTTGACTTCACCATTCGTTCCATAGATCCCAAATCCGTCACATACACCCTACAACCATTTGAATACAACTTGCATACAGCATAATAATATATTTGCTTCCTGATATTTTCCACCATTCCTTCTCTCAAAAAACTCACGTAGATACATTAAATCGAAGTTTTCATAATTGAAACAACAACTACCAATTATAGATCTCATTATGATATGCCTCCGCGACTCTTTTTATCATATCCATTTTCTTCCACCAAAACATAGACACTAAGCACACTGGACCTCAGCGAAAACGAAATTGATGCATAGGGAGTGCAAAATCTTGCCGAAGCTCTAGAACAAAACCAGGTAATACTCCACTTTCTCTATTTATCATTCATTGGCTGTTCAGAATAGATATTAACTACACTGGATCTCACTGACAATCAAATCGGTCCTGTAGGAGCACAGCATCTTGCTAAACGTCTCGAACAAAACAAAGTAATACTTCTCATTTCTCTATTTATTATCAACCGCCTGTTTAAACAGAAATAAAACACACTGAATCTCACTGAAAATCAAATCGGTGCTCCAGGAGCACAACATCTTGGCAAAACTTTCGAACACAACGAGGTAATACTGTTACTTTGTCTTTTTATCATTTATTGACTGTTCAGAACAGATATTAACCACACTGAATCTCACTGGCAATATAATTGGTGTTCAAGAAACAGAACATCTCGACAAAGTTCTAGAACAAAACAAAGTAATTAATATGCTCACCCTCTCAATATAGCATTGTCTGCCTGTTTCAAACAGACACTAACCACACCCAACCTGTATTGGAATCGAATTGTTGCTCAAGGAGCACAACATATTGGTAAAGATCTCGAACAAAACAAAGTAATATTCTCAATTTCTCTATTTATTATTCACTGTTTGCTTAAAACAGACACTAATCACGCTAGACCTCAGCCTAAACGAAATTGGTGATCAAGGAGCACAACATCTTGGGAAAGCTCTTGAACGCAACAAAGTAATAATCTTACTTTCTGTATCTACCATTCAGTGAGTTTTCGAAGCAGACACTAACTGAATTGAATCTCGGCGAAAATCTAATCAGTGATCAAGACACTCTCTACATCTTGTCAGAGCTCTTGAACATAACAAAGCAATATACTTACCTTCTGTATCTTCCATTCACTTCCTGTTTAAAACAGACAATAACCACGCTAAACCTCAGTTTAAATAAAATCGGTAACCAAGGGACTCAACATCTTGCGCATGCTATAGAGGAGAAGCGATTACTATTTGGCTTTTTTTAACGGCATGAACTGCTTCTAAACGAATTGTCCTTATACTGGGTATGAAGAGGTCAATGTGAATCCGAATGCTTGTGAATATCTGGGGATTTTTAGTAACTTTTCTCGTCACTCGTGTTTCAAAGCGATTTACTATATGAGCTTTAATTGTCTTGCTTTTTGAATCATGTTGTCTGTTGTTGCTTTTTTGTGTTTTATTGTGGTTTTATTTGAAACAGAAAGACATTTTTGCTTATCATTGTCAAGTAACACAGCGGTATTGATATCCAAAATCACTTTAGACTCGATGGAGCCGATTGCAACGATGCGAAGTTAGCCGTTGTGGATATTGAATAGGAGTTTGAAGAGTTTTGAACTCAGGAAAACGAGCAATGTGTATAAGTAAACAGATGAATATGTATAATTACTATCGATAGTGGCTTTACCGTAGACTAATGGTTTGAACCTGAGATGTTACTAGTCTGGTTTCTTCACCAAGTACATTTTAAGCCATATTCAACGCATAAACAGATGGATAAGTAAAGATAGAGCTTATTTTAGATATTAGATCCATAGAGTCAAGGTTAGGGCTACGTCTCTTGCAAATCAATTCAAGGAGTTTCTATAAGTTGGTATGGTGAATTAGAAAAATGAAATTTCTCTCAATGACTTTTTTAATTTCTAACGTCTGAGCCATTCATTGCCCTATTGAATTTTGTTTTTATTTTCTAGATAAAATATGTCTACTATCAGATCCTCAGATGACAGCATTTGCTCATTGTTGCATAACATTTTAAAGCACTGGTGGTCACACTGAAGCAGTACAGTATTCTTTAGCTGATGCTGTAGTATTAATAACCCAGCTCATTATGGTATTACCAATGAGTTGTTTTTGTTTTTGTTTTTACCAGAAACATCTGCTTTTTTGAATATACAGATGATTGAATCTTGTCTCTGGATAATGTCGGAAAAGACTCGATGCAATCTCGAATTACTCAAGCAATCGGTATTTTTTCTAGAAAAACCATTTGGATCCGATCTCGATTTCGTCACAACCTTTAACGTCGGATTCTAGAACAGGTTGCGCTGGAAGAAAATGGGAAGCACAGAAAGTTAGTCTGAAGTTATCGAAAAAACTCGGAAATTTTTTGGTTTGTAATACTACTTTCAAGTTTCATTGATCTTCCGTATTTTTTTGCCGAAACCGGCCCATATTTCTTGACTTAAGAAAATGATCTTCTAGTTTTATTTATAGACATTTTCGTCATTCGATTATATTTTTTCTTTAAAACTTTTGTATCAAAATACTTTTCACTTAAAAATATAACATGCTGATAATTTTGATTGAAATCTTGAAATGAAAAGTTGAAAAATGTTTTACCTAAAGAAATCTAGTTCTTTTCTATATCATTGCTTTGAAACTAACATGTTTGCATAATAATATTTGAGCGACGAGAAATAGATAATTGACTAAGATAGTTCATCATTTTTAAAATTGTTTATTAGCTCACTTGATACTTAACCAGCGAATTGAAAGTTTCTTTTATTAGTTTTTCAAAACCACTCATCCATTTGTATTAGATGTGATCTCTTTCTTTTTTTGTTGCTCTTGATGGAAGAAACTAAACAGTATGCTTTTTCATATGAAGTAAAACTGTACTACGAATGTAGCAGTATCTGCTGAATGTTGATTAGCTGTAAATCGGATCCAGATGCGAAAAATTGTACCCATATAGGACACTCACAAAAAACTATAAACTTTTATTCTACAAAGGAAAAGAGTTTAAGAAATCGATTAGGACCCTTTTATTGATTTTGAGTGCATCATTGTAAACGAGTCATTAAAAATAGTTTCAATTTATTTTTTTAATTTATGCTTAGCTAATAAAATAAAATATTATAATGATTCAATATAATCCTTTAAGGCTTATATACTGTACGATTGCGTTTCTTTTTCACTTATATTTCACGATATAAAGCTGTAGTAAATTCGCGTAATCAGCAAAAATTAATATCATCAGCTGATAAAGTATCCATGAAGTCTAACAAGAGTTACAATTACTAAAAAGACTTGGCATTTTTTCCAAAAATTAGTTACGTCAAAGAGTTATATCGAGGCGTTAGTTTCTTTCAGAAAAAAATCCATTTTTTTCGATCGATTTAACTTTACATACAATTGCTTTCACCTCAAGAAATAAAACTTTAATAGTAATTTATTTCATTGAAGTATTACAGATGAACGAAATGAAGATGAATAAATTAAAATTGTTGTTTTTACCGTTTTCATTCTACATTTCAAGACGTCAATAATGAAAACAGAGTGCACTTACGGCATAATAGACAATTCTATTTGATATTCCTTAAATTTTTTCTTCCATAAACTATACTTGAAAACACCGGAGAGAGAGAGTGAAAAATTGATCGTTATTTTTTTTTTGACGTCATAGAGTGCAGAGTATTTATTAACACGTACATTCACCAGAGAAAATACATAACCATCTCAACACATATACCGGTTTTTGCTTCAATTAATATTATGCCGTATAATAAATCAATGATTGTTCTTTTGCTACTTTTACAGGTTAGTTTATTCTACAAGAATGTCTTTCCATGCAGTCGTAACGTTTTTTAATCATAATTCCAGTGGCATTAATGTTATTTGTTTTCTATTAGATGCTTGTTTCATGTTGGGCACAACATCGATATATACCCGGTATATGGTCAGGCCCATTATTCTATTTAAGTGATATTGAAGAATTTGATAGAATCAACAATCCCAATATCAACAACATGAATGAAAATGATCTACTTGAACAATTTCTTCCAGTAACATACAAACCCAGAAGAAATTTTCGTAAAATTTCTCGTGTTGGTATTGAACAACGAAAGAAAAAATTTTTATCTGAATCGTTGAATTCACCAGATGAACACAATTTACAAGGTCTTTGGGCAATGCCTGGTCGACGTTAATCATAGAAACAATTGATAAGAAAAAACACAGTTCACTGTATTTCACAAGATACTGAATGTTATAAAAACAATAAAAAAAGAAAAAGATTAAAGTACAAGGAACAGATGGTTAATAATCTCATCAGCCAAACTAGAACAATAAATACGAGTGTTATGAGAGCAAAAAAAATTGCTTTTAAATAAGAATTTTAGTAATAATAAAAAGAATAGCAACAAAATGATATCGACTTTAATCATAGTTTTTATTTCATTGCTCGGTTTGTCTGGTGTATTTTCGAGTGAGTATTTAATTGAGTAATCAATCATTTCATTGCAATTATTACAAACAGATGTAGCCGATTTCGATTGTTTTGAACGACCTGATACTGGAGTGGGTCGTGCTTATTTTGAAGTTTATGCTTGGCAAGCAAGTAATAGAACATGCACCAAATTTATTTATGGTGGTATGTTTGGTAATCGAAATAGATTTGAAACAAGTGAAGAATGCTCTCTATCATGTCATGATGCTGTTCTACGTACGACTTCTATTTTGTTTATTATATTTTCTCTCATAAATTATTTTGAAAATCTTTTAGGTCATCAATTAGATTTTAAAGCAACTCATCGTTATAGTGCAGTTAATCGTTTATATGAATTAGCTCAAATTGCACTTCATTTAGAAAAAGTTGATAATGGCTATTTTAAATTAATTGCTCAACCTAGTGAAAAAGTCCTTGGTATAACTAATGAAAATGATGGAACAGATATTGCACTGCAACAACCGAATAATACTCAAACACAACATTGGGATATTATTCCAACGGGTGAAAAAGATTATTTTAGAATTAAAACACGAACAATGCCATACCGTCATGTGGATTACCTGTTTTTACAAGTTGCTCATACTGATGAAATACATATTAATTTAGGTAGACGTGATAATGATTATCTTGGTCAACAATGGCGATTTGTTTAATGTCTTAGAGAGAAAAGAAAACATATGACATACAAGTTGCAAAAAGAAAAGATTCAATAATTGTCTTTTCAAAAATAAAATACCTCGAATTCATTTTGTTGATGACTTCCAATGCAAATGTGCCAGAAAATACTAATTTTAAAAGAACTATTTTTTTGTTGCATGTTACTAGTCTCGAAATTCAAAAGAATTACATCATATTTTCTTTGCATCTATTGAGAAAAAAAAACATTTGCAAAGAGAAATATACGAACATTGCAAAATTGCTTTTTTTATAGTTATATTAGTGAACTCAATTCGAACTCTGTTCATCTAATATCTATTGTTGCCACTGGTACGATATACAAGGAATACTACAAAAGTTTTTTCGCTGACTCTTCGGAGAAATATTTGTAGGTTGACTTTCATGTTCTTTTTACAAAGTTTCACTGGTTATCAGCAATGCATCGGTACGTTTGATTAAAATAGGTCATTAGGTTAGAGCTTGAGATATTGTTTTTTTGAGTGATAATCACTGGATGCATAAAGTATGTGTAATATTGGATTGTTCTCATTGAGTTTAATTTTGTGGTTGATAATTCAGTTTTAACAGCAGAAACGAATCACATGGGCTTTAGATCTGCGGAATTGTTTGATCAACATACATTTCGATATGATTTTGGATAGTACTAATAAAAGCTGAGACATCAAATGCTATTGTTTTAATTCTATTCTGTTTCAGTTTGAAAACCTATATTATGTAGCCATTGACATACTAACTTTTGTCTACTAGATACCAATGATACAGGCTTTGTTAAGCTACATTTTATAGAAAAAATGTTATGCTGTATTTGTCTGAAATTTTGTTTGGATGAACTTTGACTATTCGTGAGTTTTTTTAAACAGTCGAATCTTTGACGACATTTCTTATTTTCTATTCTAATGATATAACTATGATCGATCATTAATGATAATGTTGCATACAAGATTGGAATTGATTTATCTAAATCTCTTCAGTGAATGACGAAAAGATTGAACGTGAAACTATTTTCAGTCATGAGCGAGATAGAATGGAGTTTCCGAGCGTAAAACTTCATAGAATTCTAAACAAATAAAAATAATTACTCGTAAAGCTATATGTTTATGAAGTCTCTTCACATCATATCACTGATTCCTACTGGGTAGGCAGTGTGATATTGTCTAGTTAATTAAGGGTACCCTCCCCTCTCTTTTGTGACCAAAAACTCGATTTCCAGTTGAGCCTAAGATATGATAGCCTGAAGTGCCGTATGCAATTAGAAACATTATTTGACTCTAAATACCTTCATTTTACGTAGTTATTGGATCGAAAACATTTTTTTTTTCATAGTAATCATATGTAATCTTTTCCCTTTTACTTAGCGCTACGTAAAACAGCGATTTTCTAAATCTCGGTTGCTTACGACTTTCCTCTAAGTTTCTTCGATCGAGCTGAAATTTGTACCACTAATACTTAAAAGTATTCTCCAGAGGTAAAATCGAGCGTTTCTATTTTTGACATTCCTACTCGGAGTTACCGGGTCCTGGAAGCCAAGACCCGGAGCCAAAACTCAGATCTTGGCATATTGGATCAATATCATCACCATCATAGCAGCTTTGCTGAGAAAATTCATATCCGACGGTTAATTCGAGCAATCAATCAAAATGATATTATGTTTCAATCTTGGTTTGATGTAAACTCTATTTATCATGCATTTCTTCAATACAGTATTGTTGATTATTACTTGTTTAAATAACAAAATAAAGTGTATTTAATTTTAAATGACTTCTTTTTATTATGATGCCATATCTAAAAGTGAATTTTATGCTAATGCTGCATAGCTATTTACTAATCATAAACTACGTCGTCTCTTTCTTAACAAGTGCGTCGCGCTTACGCGCAGAGGTTGTTCGAAGGTAGATATCTTAAGCTGATAGAAAGAGATGTATTTGATTCATGTTCGCTTTATAAAACTTGAGCTGTTAGAAACTATATTATACCAAAATAGTTTATCTTGTTCATTTTTTAATTCTCTATCCACTGGTATAAAGCATTAAAAATTTCAATATCAGATGTGTTGCAATGCAATTCGACACAACTTGCATGAAGCATTTTTCAGCGTGTTTTTTCATTAGAAACATAGCAATGATACAAGTCGATTTTTGCTAACTTTCCAAAGGATACATAATAGAAGTTAACATATTGGGGTTGGTGTTTTCGGATATTGATGCCCTTAATGAACAACAAACGTCAACATTCTTTTTCTATCCAGTGATTCGCACATGGGCACCATATCTGATGCTGTCGCGTATCCTTTGTTAATTATAAATGATTATTCAAAGTCATCACTATTATAATTTTTAGCTATTTTATCATCAGCACTATCATTTACACATATAATATCAAGAACAATGAAAGAAGAACTTTTTACTTGTCCACCATCATCAAAACAAACAGCAAAAAGAAATATAACGTCAACTAGTGCAAACAGTCTTCCTAATAAACGTCCAACTTCATCATCAAAGTTACAAACAACTCCAATAACAAAAAAAACATGTGACAATAATGAATAATATTCAATTAATATCACCAAACATTCGACCAACAAATATTATTGAAACAACAACAACACTACAAAATAAGAAAATATCTTTAATTGATCAGATTAGATTTTTTTGAAAAAGTAAATTCTAAAGCATCTTTTTTTTTAATATCACTGTATTTTAAAGGTACAGAAAACAGTACATAGTCCATTAGTATTTAACAATTTTCTACGTTGTACGTATTTTACTTGATATGAAACAAACTATATTTTGTAATGAATTATTTGAACTTATACAATTTTATCTTAGGTAAAAACAAAATATCGAAAATAAAACAAAACAAATTTTATAATTTGAATTTAAGTCATGTACCTGATTTGTTGACAACATTACAAAATTTAATTAATCAACGTGAACTAACAGATCTTACTACTTCAAAAAGTATCTATGATCAAAATGATACAGATAGTATGATTAGTAATAGTAAAATGTTATAATTTAATTGATGACTAATGATAAGTTGTAGTTCTTATCCATGGTAATTTTTTCACGTATTCGAATAGTTAAATGAAATTGATTGACGTAACGTAGAGCTGTTGTGTGAGATCAATAGGAGGCTTCTCGAATATCATGTGATTGAGATTACTTAGAAGCTAAATAAAGAAAAATTCGTACGGAACTGAAACATAGAAGGTGTTGCAAATTGTAGACTGAGTATTTTATTTGCAGAACATCTCTCAAGAAATACAATAAGAAAATAGTTGAGATTTTAAACCGAGACCTTAGTAATGTAAGATTTCCGATCTTATATCAAGGTTCTCGGAGGAGAAGAATGCTAATTTTTAAAACCTATATTTCATCATTTCGTTTAGATTGCCTTTTAAAAATCAATGATTTACATAAAAAAGTGCGAATCTTGGCAGAATATACCAAAAAATTAAACATCTTGCAGAGATGAACAATAAGATCGGGAGAATCACTTTTGCTTGACAATGGCCATTGACTCTAATTAGACAGACAGTGTTTCAACTTTAGGATCAAGTAAAAATAATTAGTTTAATTGACCTTCGGCATCTGCTCTACTTTTTATTGATGAACGAATGAAAAAAAGAGAACTTGATAAGAAGGAAACGAGGTTGACAGTTCACGAACATTAAGAAATGCACTAAATTCACAATCGATTCTATAGAATAAGATCCTAGCAGATATTTAGCTTAGAAGCAGGGTTAATCATTTTTGAAGACAAGGCTCTTTGTTTATCCAAAAGCCAAAAAAGAAAGAATATTTTACAGTAACAAATTTTCTTCAGTGAGCAATCAACTATCATATGATTAAAAGGAATTATCCTGAAATATCGCGTTGAATCACAAGGCGGAAATGTTCAAAACACTGATCACACGGACTTTCGAAGATTAAGATTATTTACTGATATTAGTTATGCTAGAAAAGCTTCGAAAATGACCTTGAAAATCCCTTAACAAGCATTATTTTTTATGTCAGAAGTTGAAAAAAATTCAAAATGTGGCAGACTGTACATTCAGACCTAAAGATTTGCTTAATTGAGTTCGTGTCTCAGTTAGAATTTTAAGAATATTTAGTTGACTAACAAGAAAAACTCTTCAGGTGTCTCCTTTCGATTTTAATGACTTCTTTTTACCTATAGATACTACGTCGTATTCTAGTGACAACCTTAGCATGATTTGGGTGTCTAATGTAACTTGATGATGCTATTGAATTTTCAATATAACTATTTTGTCAGAGGCTTCTGATTTTCAGAAACATCATGTTTTTGAATTCCACCTTAAAGTTTTCTTTTTTCATTGGAAGATCTGATACACAGCAGGTTGTGTATGATGAGTTTAAGAGATTGTAGACTACTTCATTTCAGCAGCCTACGAACTTTGATTGACTCTTATATACATAATAATAAACTTGATCAGGATAAAGCAATAGCAGCACGCATAAGATCTAAATTGCGAAAAATTCCATGATTTTTTCTTCAGCGTGAATCATAGAAAAAAACATGAACTTTATTAGTCCCTTTTTTTTTCATTTAATAGAAATATTAAAAAACTAGTTGATATGACGGATCGTTCATTAACAGAATTAACAACAATGAATAATGATAATCATCACGTTCAACAAAAACGTTCAACAAAATAAGTATACTTTTGTAGTTTATTTAATACTAATATTTATAAATATTATTTTTTATTTAAAATATCCTATCAACATTTTCAAATAACGCTCTAATGCAACCATCATATTGTCATTATCGGTAATATCATATGGTTAATACATAAAATCTGAAACCTATATAGATGTTTATATTTTTCTTATCGATCACGTGTCTATGCATATTTTGTATTTTATGTCCAGTCATTTTATGAATCATAGATACATGTTTAATGTTTTTTCTTCGATCTCATGTCTGCTGTGTTCTTGTCGTACTATTATAACATATGCTTGTATATGATAAATTCTTTCTAAATACTAACAAAACAAAACAAGCACTTTATTTTATATATGTTCATTTGTGTATTTTATCATATATAGATATGATGAGAAACAAACTATGCATTATTCATTATTCCTAATTTAAATAAAATACATTTCTTATTGAAAAGTTGAGTGAGCAATACCTATAGAATTGTAATGTGAAACACGACGGTGTAGACGAGTGAGTATGAAGGGAAGAACCTGATACTCACGCCCTTGAGAGTATAATATTTCGTTGGTGATTTTGACCATAATGTCTCTTCTAGATAGTATTATTCTGATTATTGTTGTTCACATAATTAATCGTTGTTTATAGTAGAATCGTGAGATAAATATAACACTTGTCAATATATCAGCATATATTCAAAGAAAATAGAGTTGTCTATGTTCAAATAATGGATACAGTAAGTAAGAAATAATTTAATTAGAGTTTATGCTTAGTCTACTCTTCATCTACCTTATCTGAGATTAAACAATGCATATGATCAAATCACTCGATAATAAAATGAAACGTAGTAGCTTTTTATCGAAGATAAGAACTCATGAGTATGGGTATGTGTTTGGATAATGGACTTCCTTCTATCCACGCCTATAAGCAGCTCAAACCAATTCCAAGAAGTTCTCTACTGTTCGTAGATAAGTTGAGTCTTTTTTACGACTCATCTGATTCAGCTAATAAAATTAGGAGGTAAAGGCATACTCTTAATAAAAACAAATTTGTATATTTTTCAGCATTCTGTTCGTGTTGTTTTTCAATGTATTTGTATTAGAAAAGTAGGAAAATAAGTAATACAATTAATAATTAAATAAATAGATTCACTGCTATTTCTATGCGAATGCGCCCCATTTTCCTCCTTTTAAATGTTTCTATTAGGAAATCTACCAGTGGCAGAACCTATCAATATAGACTCGGAGACTGTTGTCATGAAGTTGCATTTCTTCATGATCACAGATCAAAGTTTACCTGTGGGATTCTATCGAATTCAGCTAAATCCGACTGAGTTCTGTCTTTAGTTCACGAACATCGAAATAAAATTGTGTTCACCAGCAACTTATCTTAGTTGCATTTCAATATATTGGACTATTTTGTTTCAAAAATATTCCTCATTCAACTCTCTAGAAAAATGCATACTTGTATTGAGCAACATAACTACTGTCTATTTTATACAAACAATATAATCAATATATCAATGATATGTAAGATGAGTCTTTTTAATTGTACAGTTTAACTCTTGAGCCAATTCTACTATTGATATCAATGTATTCAAGTCGGTGATTTTCACAAACTCAGCTCAACTTGAGTAATCTAAAGGAGTAAGATCTGAACTATTTGGTAACTAATGGCCTTTGTTGATAAACAATAGTAAGTTGTTATGGCACTATTGTTGTATTAAATTCTAAATGTATGATTGCGTTGCGTCTTGTGGACGTTCTGTTTATCATAAAAAATGCATAGTACTATTTCTTCTATTTATATTTTAAAAAATAATAATAATATGGTCATCCATAAACAGTAAACTATTGATAGATGATAAAAAAGCCCGTGTCTTGAGTATATTTTCAAATTAGATAAAACCCCTTCCTACTTTTGAAAAATTGTGTGAAGAATTACTCAAAAAGAAAAAACCTTGACACGGTCATTGGTGATAGTTCTTTGATATGTACAAGGATGTTATCCTTTTTCTTTTTTACTTTGTTATTGATTTTCGATCATTCAGCTTAACTCGTTATTCATTTTATTCTATGTCAAAATTCGTCTTCGTCTCTCATTTTTGCTATAAAGATCAACAACGACCTTTTACTTCAAAGACATTGTTAGAACACGTCTTTACTTTTTTCTTAACAATAAATGAACACGTACTAGTCTAAATATTTTAAAATTCCAAGGCTAACGGAAATAATTCATTTTATAGCGTTTAATGAACAATTCTAGACGTGAATAATATACTTTTGATCATATTCAATATGAATTAACAATTAAAAGTCAAGGCAAAGATTTAGTTCTATTTTCTTCAAATGTTTGTCATTGTCTTGTGAATATACATACAAAGTGACATTCTTTCACGTATACATTTAATCCTAATAAGATTGAGAGAGAAAAAAAAGATAGAGAGGAGAGAAGAGCCCGACTTGTCGACATATAAACGTCGTCTATAACTGCAAGTAAATCGGCATTTTGTATTTTATTAGTCTCTATCCCATTTTTTTTAATCAATACGAACGAGTCTTTACGCAAATATGCGTATTAGTCTAGTACTCTTATTATGTTTTGTTATTGTTATGGTCAATTCAGCAAATACAAGAGTAACACGTCGTCGTGTTACACCTACAACAGGACGAAATTCAACTAAAGTATCAGCACCAAAATCAGCTTATGCTTATTTACGTAGTGTTCGTGGAAAAAATTCTTGTGCTCGTGGATCATGTCCATTCTGGGAACGACATGGACGCTCCTTTGCAGCACTTCGATGTTATGCAAAACAATATCAAGAATGCACATGTCTTCATCGCATGTGTTTTAGTTCATGTATGTTTACACCTAAAGTTTGTAATCAAGAAATGGTTTCATGTTTACGACAAATTTGTCCACGATGTATGCCAACATCAGCATCTGCTATGTGCGCCGTTTATGATTCACTAGCTGAACAAGTAGCTAATGCACTTTCAGTTTTTGCTTGTTATCCATGTTGTCCAATTGTTAACAACGGAGTAATAAACAATAATCAGAGTAATTTTATATTTCATTATCTTTTTTCTTTCAAATAATTATTTTTTGTCTATAAAAGATGGAAGTTCAGTCTTAGAAACAACGGCTAGTGAGTAAATAATATTTTATTTTTCTCAAATTTTTACAATCAAAAAAATCATTGTAATTTTTTTTCATTGAACAGTGGTAGGACTTGAAAGTTCATCAATATTGCCAATCACCACAACAAATGGTTAGTTAATACTTATTACAACAAATCACTGATCTATTTAAAAACATAGGTGTATTTTTTACTGATTCATCTGGCACAGATTATTTTACTGAAGGTTGATTAGATTAAACTACTCTTTAAAGACAGATTATATATTTGTATTGATAGGTGAATTTACTGGTGGCGAATATCCATCTGGTACAGGTGAAGGTGATAAAAATTTTACAGTCACTTTTTTTTTGCTTTTAAAATTCATGTAAATTTTCTAATTTTAGAAGGTTTTCCTGGAACAACCCAAAATATTGGTGAGTGTATTTTAAAATTTATCAAAAATCTTTAATCTCTTCATAAAATTCTTTCCAGTAAACAATGGAAATGGTGGAGGTAAATATTTGAAGTAAAAAGATTTCATTTTTCTTCATATAGATATTTATATACATAATGATTGTTTTTGATATTTGAATATAAAAGCGAAATTCGAATCTATTGAAATTTCTAGTCTTCACTAATACAAATGGCAACGGCATTCCAAATAGCAACGGTAATGGTTTTATCAATAGCAACGGTAACGGCATTCCTAATAGCAACGGTAACGGCATTCCTAATAGCAACGGTAACGGTTTTATCAATAGCAACGGTAACGGCATCCCAAATAGCAACGGCAACGGTTTTATCAATAGCAATGGTAACGGTATTCCTAATAGTAATGGTAACGGTTTTATCAATAGCAACGGTAACGGCATTCCAAATAGCAACGGTAACGGTTTTATCAATAGCAATGGTAACGGCATTCCAAATAGCAACGGTAATGGTTTTATCAATAGCAACGGTAACGGCATTCCAAATAGCAACGGTAACGGTTTTATCAATAGCAACGGTAATGGTATTCCTAATAGCAACGGTAATGGCTTTATCAATGGAAACGGTAACGGTATTCCAAATAGCAACGGTAACGGCTTTATCAATGGAAATGGTAATGGTATTCCTAATAGCAATGGAAATGGTTTTGTCAATGGAAACGGTAACGGCATTCCAAATGGTAATGGCAACGGTGCTTCAAATGGAAATGGAAACAATGTGGTCAATGGTAACGGTAACGGTAATGGAATCAGTGGAAACTGTATGAGTTAACTTTCTTTTAACAATCATTCGATCGATTTTTATAGGCAATATTCCTAATAGCTATCCTGGTGTAGTATTTCCTGGCAGTGATTTAATCTTCTACAACAACAACTTTCCTCTTCGAAGTCAACAAGCTCTTAAACAACGAGTTCGACAAACTATTCCTGCAACAAAACGTCGTTTATCAACTATTCGCCGAACACCAGTTACTTCTCCACGAACTCAAGGAGTCGTTACTGTTCGTGGTAATAAAGTCAATAGTGGTGTTCGTAAACCGGTGCAAACACAAAAGAAGCCTCAAACAGCCAATCGTACCAAAAGTTAACTTTGAATGATACATGCATACATATGTCTTTTTTCCATTATCTTATTTTCTTGCTCTTAAATAAAAGAATTTTTGTCAAGTTATAAGCAGTTCTACAATATATCCGTTTTCTACGGCAATTCTTTTTTTTTTCTTCGTATCAAGACACATATACATGCATAAACACCCTTCTAATACAGATGCATTGAAGCGTTAAGATAGTAATGTATATGCCTACGGTTTGGTGCGTCATTCTCCTTTTCAATATATCTCTTTCAGATTTTTTTTCATTTTTCTAACCTTGCGCTTGTTTACTTCATATGTGCAGATAGGTAGCTATACGTGTATTGACTAAGCATTCTCCCTCATGTATATTTATTTTGTCTCACTATTCCTGACATATGAAAACGTCCAAGTCATGGTTTTATTTATGAGTATATCGTTGGCAGTTAGCAAATATCGTCGTCGTCGTCACTATCATTGTGCTGCTTGCTGGCGTGTGACGCGTCCTCTTCTCTCCTCTCTTAGGCATTGTATATTTCGTTGTCTATTTTTCTTTTCCTCTCTCTGCAATACTTTTTTATGACTTGCCCACACAACACATCGATGCACGCTGAAGCATTAGCTTACATTCAATCGGGCAGCAAAGAGAGAGACACAGAGACAGAAACAGAGACAGAGACAGAGACAGCAATGGGGTATAGAGGACGATAGTGAGAAGAAGAGGTGGCAAAAAATTAAAACATCCTCATTGAAGCACATCAAGGTAGAAAAAGGCTTTTTTGTATTTCTCTTTTTCTTCTATTCTCTTTCTTTTTTTACTTCATGAGTCCAGTTGTTGTTTGTTATTGGTGATCAGTATAATCATTGAGCTCTTTTTTTTTGCATGATTGTTTACATGAAACTTTAGCCTGTTCTAGAAAAATAAGAGAAACCGCCTGCTGATCTCCAATTATGTATCCAGGACGAGGCGGCTATGTAGGACCACGAGCACGTGCGTAAAATTCTCTACTAGTCTTTTCTATTTTGTAAAAATTCCGTTTATTTTATTTTAACAGCATATGTGCCTGGTGCTTCAGCTCGTCGACGTGGCTACCGTTCAGGTTATAGTCGACCGTCAAGACGTTATGCATATCGACCCCGATTACCACCACCAGTAGTACCAGCTGGACGAGCACCTGGTGGTGCTGGTCTTCTTGCAGCTATTCTTGGACCTATTGGTGGTCTTACTGGATGTTTATGCTGCCTAATGACCATCGGTGTTTGGGGTCTTTTTATCACGGCTATTCCATTGACTGTCTTCATCAGTAAGTTTGTTTATGTTTTAAACTATATTTTTCTATCATTAAATTTCAATTTTTTCTTCTCATTTCAAGGCCGATGGTTACGTGATTATAGGAATCGTAATGGCTTAAATGGTGCTGGCGAACTTCTTGCTCCTCAATTGCTTCTTCTTGTATTGCTCGTATGTTCGTTCTTATACACGTTCATGCGTCGCTCATAAACAAAAAAAAATCAACCAACGACCATTTGGTCTCTTCTATATTTATGGTGTTATTTCTTCACTATATACACACACACATACATAAATACATAAATACACACAATAAATGGTTTTATTTTTTTTTGTTCATAATTTTTTTTCTTCTTTCGCAACACAACGAATATTTCTTATTTTTCTTTCGCATAATATTTTGTAACTCGCGCGCGGTTGAACTTTTTTTTTTCTAAAGCAGCAAAAAACATGATGACGACGATGACAATAACGACGACAAAACACTATCTTTAATAACATAAATTAATATAAATCGATAGCAAACGTGGCGATGTTCAGTGTTTTTTTTTGCTTTTTATTTATCTAATTTTTTTTGTTTTTTCTTTTTTTTATCTTCAAATCACCAGAAATATTTAAATAAAAAATCAGACATCATTTATTGTGTGAAACGAATGTAAATTTAATCAAAGCTAAAAGACACGCCATTAGCGCATCATTATGAGCAATAGAATGACCTTGAATTAATAGTACAAAGACATTATTGTTTCAAACTAGATTAAAATTTCATGTATTTAAGAAAAAATCTATTCGATATTTATTTGTATTTTTGGGCTTTCAGCGTTTTTTTCACTCTTTCTTTTTCGACATCATCAATGTTATTCATATCATTTGGTCATGCATGGTTTCTGCACAATATACATTTCTTTCTTTAGTCTTGTATCAATTTGTCTGTAAGTGGTGTTTTTTTCTTTTTTTTTCTTTACTTTTTTTCTGTCTTGTATGAGGCTATTAGTTATCTTTATTCATGGTTGAATGCGCACATCAGCGAAAAAAAGCCTCATCTTGACTTTTTTTTTTCATTGATTCGAAAGCATTCATTAAGGTAGAGCAGCTTCCTATGTAATATTACCTTCAGTCAATAGATATGCCTAACACAAAAAAAAACCAAGAGAGAGAGAGAGAGAAAGAGGGAAACCTGTATTGCCTACGTCTAGATGAGTATATTCAGAGAGAGAGAGAGTATGAAGGTTTTTCTTTTTCGTAAAGGTAGGTAGATAGCATGAAAACAAGCTTATTTTTTTGTACGCAGTTTCTTTTTTTTTCTTCTCTCTTCCCTCTCTTATCGATTTTCGTTTGCGTGTTAGAGAGAGAACTCGGAATGCAAAAACAGGGAGAAGAAGAAGATAAACAAATCTGATCTTTTCATATGACTGATATTGTTCAAACGACTATTATTTGTAAATAGGTTTTTTTTCTTGATTATTATTGTAGACAAACGGGTGTGTAATCTAAACACTCAATAATAATGGCCGCTCCTTTAGCTGCTGCTCTCGGTCCAATTGGTGGTCTTGCAGTATGTGCCTGCTGCTTGATTATTATTGCTATTTGGGGTCTCTTTGCCACAACAATCGCCTTGGCTGTTTATACAAGTAAAAAAAATAATTGTTTATTTTTGTTTTAAGTTTCTTTTTGTAATTTTTTTCAGGAAGATGGGCAGACGCAATTAGACAGGCCAACGGCTTAAATGGTGGAGTTGAACAATTGATTTTTAGTCAAGCTCTACTTATAGGAATTCTATGCGTATATGGCTTTCTTGGCCTTCGACGAGCATTGCGCTCTGCTAATTAAACTCAATACTACACATAATTGTTAAAAGCGAATACAAGTGATATCAAATAATACCAACAACACCATTTTTTTTCAAAAAACTCTATGAAACACCACGATTATAAACAATAAAAATGCTTAAACACATGATGATGATGATAATGTGCTTCATTTTTCTTTTAAAATTTTTTCTTCGCATGTTTTTTTCTTTTTTTTGCATTTCATTCAAAGCCCGTTGTGTAAAAACAATGCCAATATATTTACTTATAACATCAATATATTTTCATTTTTAATACAAAAAAAAAGCACAAAAAATAATTTCTCTATTCAAGAAGATCACATTGATGCATTCATTTTTCATAAATAGAATTTATGTTGATACTACAATATAAGTCTGTAAATTCTTGATAGTGTAAAGAAACAACATTCGAGAAATATGCGTTTAAAATAGCGTACAGTTAATGTCATCATTAAAAGTAAACATTTACTATTTGCTTTCGATAGGTATTCTGATTTTATCTAACTAAAATTATGATGTTAGCATAATTAATGTAAGTGTAAACTATATTCTCTTGAAATAATTTCTTCTCGAACAGCACATGTATTTATGAGAAATTTGTCAGGTTTTTTTTTTTTGTATCGAAAAATTTTATGAATACAATAATCAATCCTTCTTACTTAATCAAAATCAAGGAAAAATTATCAAGGTTATATACAAAAATCTACTTAAAAGGAAATATTTAATTAAACAAACTACAAAAATAAAATAAATGGAAATCAAAACATTAAATATATAAAATAGAAAAAAATAAATAAATAACCATTTCGTCTATTCGACACATTATTGGATTCAAGAGACGGTCGTTACATTGATCAAAATATTTGATACATTTAAAAAAAATACTTCAATATCTTCTCTAGTTTTCATACATTTGGATTGAAATTTTTCAAAAGATTCAGCGTTTAAAACTATACAAAACCATATACAAAAAGAGTAACATGAGAATAAATTTTTAAATGTTATCATAGTAATACTGCACATAAGCAGCATAAACAACTTTCAAACCGAAAATACAGTTGTCCTTATCTATTTGTTTTCCTGCCGAATTATATAGACCAGTTCTACAATATATTTTGTAAAGTTTTAAAAGTTCTATCTTATTACCATGTGCAAGAGTTTTCATAACGAAAGCCTCATGTACACGAAATAAGCATTAAAGAAGAATTACTGTTTTTTTTTTCAATCGAAAAAACACGATTGTTCTTATTTGAAAGAAATAAAGTGTATTTATTCCTTATTTTATGAAATATAGTTTGTTTATGAAAATTATTGAACTTAATAATAAGATATAACTTCTGAAACTCTAAAAACTAGACAATATAATTTGTCTATGTAGTTCAACATGAAAATAGATAAATAAGAACAATTGTATTTTGTATTAAGTCGTTAATGTTGTATATTCGTAGTATTACTACAATAACTTTTTTACTTCTATCCCTGTAACATCCGTTTCTATATAGTTATGTAGAGAATTAAACATTGAATCTTTTGAACGAAAAGTTTAATCCATATCTATGAAATCTAGACAGAGAATACGGAGATCCTCATTTTTTATGGGCCAGCTGTTATTTCATACATCGATTCTTCAGTTCATCGTGTAATGAATAAAATTAATAGAATTAAATTTATACAGCATATAAAAACGACTTTTATTAATATTAGACAAGAATTTTTTGTGAATGATCAAAGTTTAGTTAATGAATTGATGCTTTAAGGTATTCTCATTATGCTACATATACTTCATCTTCAAAGACATCGGCATCAAGTATAAGTTCTTTCGTTAATCTTTTAAACATTTTCATTTTGTTTTATTGGAGAAAATAGCTGCTATTGTTTTTAAATGTTTGTCAACAATCATATTATCACTCATACGATATAATAATAACAACTCTTGTTTACGAGAAAAACACATGATTATTTATATTAAGTATTCTATATGATATTTTCTTCATAATTTTCGATCAAAAGTTACAAATATAAATAATCCAATTTTAAGTTTTTCGATAAATTCAAATCGATTCATAGCAAACATATTGGAAAGTCACAATGAATATTTGTCATCAAAAGGATGATCGCGTGCGTTCATATTCATTTGTTAATTACAGCTTCTGTTTTTTAATGTATCGTACATTATGACGTGGTGATTTTTCTTCTCTCTCCGTCTTCTTTTTTTTTGAAGGTTATCGCTTGAGGCAGACATGCATTCGAGTGAACAAGCAATACACACATCTGTATCGATGACCACACCCTTTCTTATTCTAATGCTACTCGTCACCTTACTGCCATACACTTGTTCAAAATCATAAAACTATCTCTCATAGATATATATATACATAAACACACTCATCACTTGTAAAAGTCATTAGATGAGACGAATTAACTCAATATATAAGTGGATTAATCGATACTAAGAAGCCATATCTATATCGATTTACATTGTTACCATGATAATCGCGTGCGAACTGACAAGTAACCAAGATAGATGAAGTTCATTTGGATACAATTTTCATATGTCAAGGAGTTTTTTTTATTTCTTCTTCTTTCATATTTGTAAAAGTATTTTATTGAAATCATTAACTAAATTAAGAAAAAAGTAATCGATACCAAATACATTTTATTCTATATACAATGAAAACATGATTGGTGTGAATAACATGCGTGTTAATATCAATCTCGAAGGAATAGAATGTGCATGTAGGCGAAACCGATTAGTACTGGTGATGATCAATGAGAAGAAAAAAAAAAGTCGTATTGTTTCTATGAACTTGTCATTAGGGAACAACGAAGAGTGATCGAACTAATTACCAGACTGTTCATTCGTCTGGCTAACGTATTTGTCAAGTCATACTTCAACCGGACAATATCCCTTTACACTCAGGTGTTCAATCTCTCGTCAATGATCATCAGTTTTTTTTTCTCTCTCGTCTCTATAACTGATTGGTCGATTAAAAGAATATTGGTACAACCAGCACAAGAGAGATAGAGAGAGAGAGAGAGAGAGAGAGAACGAACGAGTCTATAATTTTCAAGATCAAATATGTATAAAAAAAATAAAGAAGAGAATAGATGAACAAATTTGTGGCGCTTGATTGAGTTGTTCATTCAGTCGGCGTTCTGCGTGCATTTTCAAGTCTCTCGAATTATCCATTATCTCGATAATACAGACGGGCTCTTTATTTTTTTCGGCACCGATACTTGAAAACGTTTATACGATTGTCGGGACAACCTTCATCATTATGTATTGTAACTGAGTTTGTATTTATACACATATATGAAACAACAATAGTTGAACATAGTCAAACAGATTGTGTAAGTATAAGTAACATTACATGTTTAAACTAGAGTTGTATGAAGAAAGTAATTTCGTGATTTTTTAAAATATTTCTTATCTGTACATATTTTGTCATTTTTTTCTTGCATACACACCGTCTGCTTTTATACCCAGCATAAATCACGTTCTATGACATTAAATTAACAAGCATCATATGGCTCTATTTGTCTTTTGCTTGTATAAAGAATCAGGTTTCTTTATGTTATACACCGTTCAAATTATTGATAGATAAACATGTTTTCTCTTATTATTATTTTACTATTTTAATCGAATTGAATTCTAAATATTATTCTTTATAGTTTGTATAAGACTTCTTCTCTTCACATTTTAATCATATGAAATCTATATTTCTTTTTTGATGAGATTTTTTTCTTCGATTGAACAATATCTAAATTGACATTATTCTTCTATCGTTGATTAAAGTGCTCTTTGAACTACTCGAATAGTTTGTATGTCACTTAAAATTCTTAAGTTGAATATGAGTTCGTTCTTTTTTTTTTTTTTCTTCTATTGATATATAATTGTTTTAATCCGTATATTGTATATGAGAATGTCTAAACAAATCAATGAACGAACGTATATACTCGGAAATTGACTGATGGAATAAAAAGCTCTTTTAATCGATCGATAGTGTTGATAGATGACTGTCTCAAGGTTTTGACTTCGTCTCGGAATAATAGTTTACTATTTTTTTTTCTTTCTCTCCGCCTCTTTCTGTCCTTATCTTGTTGAAAGATAAGATTTACATGGTAGATGATGAACATATTTTATGATGATAGGCAACGTTTGTTAATGAGTTAGCGTGAAGGAGAAAAAAACAAAAAAATAGACATAAAGAAGTAACTTATATAGGGTATATTCAATTTGCATATGAACAACGCGTGTGATAATGTGAATAAGGAAAGCGACACTCGCTCTATTTGAGCTAAGAGAGAGAGAGAGGTAAAGCTGTTAAAATCCGAAACGAAAATATGAATGAATATTCATGTGTGAAGAAGAGACATCGAAAGGATAAGACGATAAAGTGACAAGAGTTGACAAACACGTGCCCAATATTGAAATATTAGACTTTATTATTATTTTTTTTTTCTAATACAAAAGATGATATCTTATCATCTTATTTAGAATAAATTATTCTATTATAAATACAATAATAGTCATTTTGTCATCAATCGGATTCTCAAACTTATTTTCAAAATATCATGTATGTATTTTCTGATAAAATAATATCTCATGTATTTCAAAAAGTTCGCAACCAAATTAAACTTTTCTATATAATGAGTAGTTTCTCGAATTGACTTAAATTAAAGTAAACTTCTTTTCTAATTTTAAAGAATCATTACAGTTGTGGCGATGAAATTGAGACTAAGATGAGTCGAAAAGTAATCGTCTAGTAAATAATTTAATTTTTAGGTATATTATGAAGTTTATTTATACGAACCATTATTAGAATAATCTTTCTTTCAGATTTCTTATAGGATAGCGTATTGTAATAAAAAACAAATGAACTAATATCTGCGTCAGTAATAGCTTGACAACAGCAATAACTTGTGATCTACGATTTCCAGTAATCGAAAGAGGAGAACTCTGGATATTTTTTTTTTATTTTATACTACGTAAAACAAAATT